GCACAGCCCCCAGCAGGGACCCCAGCGCGCCTGTCGCTGCGGGCAGGGCCATGAAGGCTGGCTCAGGGGAAGGTGGCCAGGCGCAGGCAGGGCTCTCCCAGCTCTGCCTGGCCCAGGAGAGCCCGTGGCCCGGCGGCCGCAAGATGGTGCAGGAACACTGCACCGCACCGCACCGCGCTGCAACCCCCGGCGTCGGCACCGTGCATGCACCCACGGGCACACGCACACACATGCATGCACTCACACACGTGTGCATGCACACACAGAGGCTCTCTTAGGGGAGCACCCACCTCACCCGCCATCCCCTGGGTGGGCAGCACTGCTGGGACTTTGTGCTCCGTCCCCATGCGTCCCCAAGACTCTCTGGGGCAGACTGCGGGGGGACCTGCCGGTGCACAGCCCTGGGCTGGAGCCCACTCTACAGCCAGGCAGCCCGTGCCCCTCGCTGGGCAGTCAGCGCCCACTCGCCCACCTCTCCCTTGGACACCCCACACCAAACCTGTGCCCTGGGTGTTAGTGCCAGGCTGCCACTGGGACCCTGCACGGCCAAGGGAAGCAGGGCAGGAGATGGTCTGGAGAGCTGCCACAGGCAGAAAGTGGCACCTTCTCACCACCAGGCACCTGCACCCATGCCACACCATGCACAGCCCCAGCCAAGTCCCCATTGGGCCACATCGACCTTCACTGCTTCTCCCAAATACACAGGCAGAGGCAGCAGAACAGAGTGTTTCCTCTCTCCACCATGGAAACTGGTTGCACAGAAATAATATATATATTTTATTTGAAATACACAAGAAACGCATAGCTGGGAGAATAAACACTACTAAGCCAGCTCTCGCAGAGAGCTCAGTGACAGCTGGTGACCATGGTAGGGTGGAGAAGCAAGACAGGGTGCTGTTTCCCAGGTTGGTTCAGAGGCTGACAATGCAAAAGCAGAGCAGAAGCAGGTGCCTGCCCAAGCTCTAGGGCGCAGCGGGAAGACCTGGCGATGTGGCCTGGTCCCTGCTCAGTGCCGTGACAAGAACACTGACCTGCAGCGTGCCACAGCGGGAGTGCAGCACCCAGGTGCCCTGGTATGTCATCCCTGGTCCTGCTGCCTGCCCGGGAGAAGGAGGAGGAGGGAGGCGAAGGCTGACCTGCTGGCAGCTCGTGGCATCACAGGCCACGCTTACGGTGCCCTCGGGGTTGCTGTACGTGCACTGTCCTGGAGCATTCTCCCCCCGCTCCTCGTCCCAGCCCTCCTCCGGGGGGACACCCCGTGCTCCCAAGCACTCCAACTGCCCGTGAGGGACCTGCAGCAGGGACTGTCCCTGGAGAGCGGCCGGGCTGGTGCAGGAGGCTTGCCCATGGGTAAGGGGCTCGGCAAAGCTCTGGAGCCAGCCCAGGAGATAGGCGAGGCGGCAG